TCCCCTGAGCTAAGGACTCTCCCTGGCTCTGGGGCTGACTGTCAAAGGGCTAAGTGGGGGCCCCCCTCCTCCTCGGCGGCCCCCTGGTCCCAGCTTCCGCACAGCCCGCCAGGCTCTGCTCCAACCCACGTTTCCACATCCCCAGAGCAGCCTGCACAGAGCGCTGCCCATCTCTGCTCACGGAGGAGGCTAGGCCCAGAGGGGGTGAGGGGCTCAGGTGGAGCCACACAGCCAGCAGCTGGCTGGGTGCGGCTCGCCCCCGCTTGTCTCCCTGCCCCGTGCACTCACAGGCAGAAGCCACTTGTACCAGGACTATGTAATTATGGCGGAAGAAGAGACAGGGTGGGGCTGGGTGGACGGGCCGTGCTGGTTCTGATCCTGTTGGAGCATCGTGGGGTTCTGGACTTATTTCAAGTCAGTCCCTCTGTGGACAGCGCTGCCTGTAGCTCGGGGTTGGATGGTTGCCTCACCTTCCAGAGCCTGGGGCCGCCCTGCTGCTCACAGGGGTGTGGGTCCTGGCGGCAGGGTGGACACGGGCGGCGGATCGGCGCAGGGCCACCACGCCACCATGTGGCTGGGACCTGGGGACCCATGGGCCTCGGGGCGGGCACCTGCCAGTGAGGCGCGTTCTCAGAATCAACTCAAGTTTTGGCTTGGGCTGGTAATCATCATCTTCCTTGCTTGCTTGCTTCCTTTCTCCCTCCCTCCCGGTCCCTCCCCGGTGATGTTGGTGTTTGGAACTCAGGGCTCTGGGCTTGCTTGGTTGGCGCTCTGCTACTTGGGCCACACTGCCCAAAGAGGTTTGCTCCGGTTTCTTTTGATCTGGGGTCTTGCTTTTTGCCCGGGCCGCCCTGTGTGGACAGCGTTGCCTCTGCTGATGGGTATGGAGTCAGAGCTGCCGGGCCAGGCCGGGCAGGGAGGGTGCATCATCAGCAGTGTAGGCTGAAGCAGCAGCTGCGGAGGTGGAGATGGAGAGCTGCTGGGGGCCGAGCTGGCCGAGGCAGCCGGGGCCCATGGGAGCGGGCCTGTGGTTCACCTGCGCTCCCCGGCTCAGCGCTGTGGTGTGCCGGCTGGCCCCGGGCTGAACCAAGATGGAGCGGGGAGCGTCCAGCAGGTGGCAGTGCAGGGCTGAAGGAAGTTTCCTGATTGCCGCCCCCACTGGCTCACGGATGTGCCTGCCCAGGCTGGCTTTGAACCTCAATCCTCAGCTCTCGGCACCCGACGACTTACACTTTCTATTCTTGCCCCTTTACTTTTTAATTTATACCAGGGCAGACCCACAGATCGCCATTATTCGATTTTGTTAAAACAACAGCAATATTGGATAGAAGTCATTCAATAAGCATATTGAATAATATAAAAAGCCAAACACAGTTGCTCATGCCTATAATTTCTAGCTGTTCAGAAGACTGAGATTTGAGGGGTCACAGTGCAAGGCCAGCCCAGGAAGAAAAGCCTGTGAGGCTCTATCCCCAATTAATCAACAAAAATCTGAACTGGAGGGGTGGCTCAAATAGTAGAGCAACAGCCATGAGCCAGAAGGCAGAGCAAGGATGTGAGCTCCTGAGTTCAGACCTTGGCACTGGCAAAATTCAATGAATAAATATTATCGCCCCCAATGGGGCCGGGGGGCCCTCGGGGGTGGCTCTGTCCTCGGGGGTGTCCTCTCTTTTGGCTCCCTTCAGTGTGGGGTGCTGTTAGAAGCCCAGGTCAGGGAGAGCGGGCGCAGGACCTGGGGAGACACCAACCCCACCGATCCACGTCCCTTCCAGAGGAGACGCACTGGTCGCCCCATGCAGCTGGCCTTGCCTGGCTGGTGTGTGACAGATTGCTGGCACACGCAGTGTGCTACAGTGTGTGTGACCACATGCAATGCATGCAGGCAAACACGTCGGCACCCTGGGAGCCCGTGCGCCCCCCCCCCGCGTCTGCCAGTTCGAGGCCTGAGTGCCCCCTTTTCTAGCCTGTGGGCTCTTTGATGGAAGTTCTGCGTGTGTGTGTGTGTATAGAAAACCAGGGAGGGTCTTGAGGACAATTCACACCCACGTGTGGAAGCCACGTCCTGCCCAGGGTGCGGCTGTGGCCGCGGCTGACGGCGGTGCTCGCTGGGGCGGGTGTGGGAGGGGTGCTGGCCCGGCGGAGCGCGGCCTGTGCGGCTGGGCGGGCGGTGGCGGCCCCCACCGCTGGCCTCCTCGGCTCTGCGGAAGGAGCGGGCATTGATCGTGGAGTGTTTGTGCAGAGCCCCCTATTGATTTCAGAGCAATTAATTTAAGCCGTTGCAAAGCTGCGCTCGGAGCTCCCCGGGGAGAGCTCATTAGTCCATTGTTTCTTGTGTGGAGGGGATTGGGTTTCGGGCTCCGAGGGGATCCGGATCATCTGGCCTCCCTTCCATGTCCTGGGCAGCCAGCAGGTTCTGGCCCTGCCCTCCGCGAGCCTGGCGTCTGTCTGTGTGTCTGTGTGTCTCTCTCCTTCTGCTCCTTTCCCCCTGGCTGACAGCCCCAGCTGCCCTTGCCTGCAGCTCTGAACCCCGTGGTCCTGCAGCCATGTCTGGCTACCCCCTCCCCCCACTGGGCTGGCAGGCTTATGGAGAATTTGGGGCTCAGAGCTGGCAGGAGGGCAGCGGCCCGGTGTCCAGGGTCATGGACCGCAGGGGATGGGGGGAGTGGGTGAAGGTGGGGAGGGCCTGGGGGATGGGGGGAGTGGGTGAAGGTGGGGAGGGCCTGGGGGATGGGGGGAGTGGGTGAAGGTGGGGAGGGCCTGGGGGATGGGGGGAGTGGGTGAAGGGGCTGGGGGGTGTGGCAGGGGCGGGGCTCCCATGGCTCGGCATCTCAGGCCTGCAGGTATGGCCACGTGCAGCACCTGGAGCACCTGCTGTTCTACGGCGCGGACATGGGCGCGCAGAACGCCTCAGGCAACACCGCCCTGCACATCTGCGCCCTCTACAACCAGGTCAGTGCCACGGCGCGGCCCTGAGCGGGGAGACCCCGCCACGCTGGGAGACAGACTGGCGGGCCGGGGCGCGTGCGAGGGAGGCCCCGGGCTCTGACACGGGATGGCTCTGGCATGGGGCGCGGTGTGAAGGAGTTCCCTGGGCTCCGGGACGCATGGTCCTGGCCTGGGGCGTAGTGCGAGGAAGGTCCCCGTGCTCCGGGACGGCCCTGGCACGGGGCGCGGTGCGAGGGAGGCCCCGGGCTCTGGCACGGGATGGCTCTGGCATGGGGCGCAGTATGAGGGAGGTCCCAGGCTCCGGGACGGACAGTCCTGGCACGGGGCGCGGCTTTCTTGTACCCACCAAGGCCTCATCTAGGAAGTGCAAAGGTGGGGTGCGGTGCCCGCCGCGGGGAGCCCCCGCACAGGCTCGGGGCAGGGGCAGCGCAGCCATGGAGCGTACCTCGCTGACCAGAGAAAGATAGTTCCTTGGGTGCTTTGTTTTTGTTTTTGATTTTTTGTTGGTCGTGGGGCTTGAACTCTGGGCCTGGGCGCTGTCCCTCAGCTCTTCTGCTCAAGGCCAGTGTTCTACCACTGAGCTACAGCGCCACTTCCAGTTTTCTGGTGGTTTATTGGAGATAGGGGTCTCAGGGTCTCTCCTGCCCGGGCTGGCTTTGAACTGCGATCCTCAGATCTCAGCCTCCTGAATAGCTCACAGGTGTGAGCCACCGGCGCCTGGCTGTGCTTTGGTTTTTAAAACAAACAAAACCACCTGGTGCCAGGCACAGGTGACACGCGCCTATCATCCTAGCTACTCAGGTGGCTGAGAGCTGAGGATCGCGGTTCAAAGCCAGCCCGGGCAGGAAAGTCCACAAGACTCATATCTGCAAAACAGCAGGGCTGGAGGTGTGGCTCACATGGTAGAGCACCAGCCGAGCAAGCAAACGAAGCCAATTCCACTATGGGAAAAGAATACAAAAACAGCTCAACCCTGCTGTCCGGGCATGGAGACGCGTTCTGATGGTTGCCAGCCAGCGACCCCCTGGCCCTTCCATGCCCAGCGGGTGACTGTGGCGGCCAGCCGTGCTCAGTGCCCCCCCCGCCCCCTCCCCCCGTGTCTGTTGAGTGACTTTCCTCTTCTCTGCTTACAGGACAGCTGCGCCCGAGTGCTGCTCTTTCGGGGAGGAAACAAGGAATTGAAAAACTACAACAGCCAGACGCCATTTCAGGTAAAGCGCGTGTGTGCACTGGCCACGGCTGTGTGTGTGTGTGTGTGCGCGTGTGCGTGTGTGTGCGTGTGTGTGCATGTGCGTGTGCGTGTGCATGTGTGTGTGCGTGTGCATGTGTGTGTGTGCGTGTGCGCGCACGTGCGTGCCTGTGCGTGTGACATGAGCTCCTGTGTGCTGTGCCCTGAGCTCTGCCTCATCAGCACTGACACCGTGACGTCTAGGCTGGCTCCTTTCAGACCAACCTGCGCGTGGCGCAGAGATTTATCTCTGTGGGACATTCCAGAAAGGAAACAAAGTCACGGCTGTTCCTATTTTTGCAGCTGTTGGGCAGCGCTGGGTCCGCTGCCTCTCATCCATGGAGGGGGCACCCCTTAGTCCACCGCCACCCCACCGCCCCTGACACCCCAGAATGGATGCTAAACAACCCCGCCCAGCCTGGGCAACTTGCGTCTGACACACGTTTCTTTTCTGAGCCAGAGTCCCGCCTGGCTCCCAGGCCGGCCCTGCACGTCTGGGCCCAGGCGATGTTCCCGCCTCCGCCTGCAGGTGGCGCCATCGGGCCTGGCTGCCCGAGTCCTGAGACTTGAGACTTGTCTAAGGCTCTGTGCCAGGCGTGTGCGTTCGTGTTTATAGTGGACACCGGCCGGTCGCATGAACTGAACGCTGGAGCCTGTCCTTGTCTGGGAATCATTGGTGCGTCTTCCTGAGCTGGGGAAAGTCTTCAGGACAGAGCCGGCTGTCTCGGGTGGCTGTCCGATCCTCCTCTTGGGCTGGAAAACGAATCCATTCGCTCCAGGCCCTGGGCCCAGAAGCTTCGTGACCACAGGGGAAGCGTCCTGAGCGCGATCACGGCAGGCTGGGGCTCCAGGGTGACATCTTGTCGCGTGCCCTTGTGTGATACACGGGCCTGGGAGACAGGGGGCCCTGGGGCGTCCCAGGTGAACCAGTGAACCGTGGCTGGGCCTGGCTGGGAGATGTCGTTGGCCAGTCAGTTGTGTGTTTCTGTTTCTTTTGGCTTCAGGAATGTCAGCTGGCGCAGTGGCTCACACCTGTGATCAGCTGCTGAAAATCGGGAGGATCGTGGTTTGCAGTCAGCCCGAGCTAGGTTCCCACAGCCATGCCTGAAATTCTAGCTACTCAGGAATCTGAGACCTAAAGGATCAAGGCTCAAAGCCAGCCAGCCTGCACCGTTCCATCTCCAACTAACCTGCAAAAAGTTGGGGTGGAGGCATGGCTCAGATGGCAGAGCACCAGCCATGACCTAGCAGCCAATAAGCACAAAGCCATAAGTCCTAAACTCAGGGCATTTTTAACTTTTAATTTATATATAAATATATTTAAAAAAAGACTCTAGCTCAGGTGGCACCAAGTGGAAGAGACATGCAGACAAGGCACAGAATGGGCCGGGTCTGTGCCGCTGTGGAAGCTGCCTTCCCGGCGCCTCCTCGGTCCCTGAACCCAGAGAACCTCTCAGCCTGGGGTTTGGGTTTCCAGAGGCTTCATTTCATATGTGGCCAGAATCTAGCCCTGTCCCCAGCTCTGTCCCCAGCCCTGTCCCCAGCCCTGTCCCCAGCCCTGTCCCCAGCTCTGTCCCCAGCCCTGTCCCCAGCCCTGTCCCCAGCCCTGTCCTTCAGCCCTATCCCCAGCCCTGTCCCCAGCTCTGTCCCCAGCCCTGTCCCCAGCCCTGTCCCCAGCCCTGTCCCCAGCCCTGTCCCCAGCTCTGTCCCCAGCCCTGTCCCCAGCTCTGTCCCCAGCTCTGTCCCCAGCCTGTCCCCAGCCCTGTCCCCAGCCCTGTCCCCAGCTCTGTCCCCAGCTCTGTCCCCAGCCCTGTCCCCAGCCCTGTCCCCAGCTCTGTCCCCAGCCTGTCCCCAGCCCTGTCCCCAGCTCTGTCCCCAGCCCTGTCCTTCAGCCCTGTCCCCAGCCCTGTCCCCAGCTCTGTCCCCAGCCCTGGGCTGGGCTGGAAGTTGCAGTGGTCTGGTCTCAGGGCTGGCCTCCCCCCTCCAGCTGCCCCGGGAGTCTCTGGACGTCCGCTGTGGGGTGAGAAGGCTCTGGGTCGGCTGCACAGGCCACGCTTGCCGCTTGCCGTGTTCTTGCTTCCTGCTTGAGAACTCCTCTGACCTGGGAGTGGCCGGCTCCAGCTCCGGCTCCGGCTCCGGCGCCGTCCAGTCCAGCAGGCAGGGCGTGGCATGCTGGGAGGCGGGGGCGGGGGAGGGGGGAGGCCCAGCTTTCTAAGTCTAATCAAAGTTGTGTGAGTCTCGTTTGAGATGCAGACTCTGTGTTCCCATGGAAACGGACGTGGCAGTTGTATTTCTAGATGGGAGAGGACCTGACAGTCCCAAATGTGGCTGGAGGACGATCCATATTTATGATGGAAGGCGACCAGGGCCGCGTTCCTCGTGGCAGCGGGGCCCCTGCGTGCCCCGTGGGGCATGCAGGGCTTTGGGGTTGGGGAGCGGGGACCCAGGGGCAGCTGCTCTGAGCAGCCATGGCCAAGGACGCGGGGCCCTGGCTGTCATGGGCACAAAGGAGAAGAAAAACAAGGTGTCGGGGGGGGGCGGGGAGGAGAGGGAAGCCAGGTGGTGTGTGCGGCGGGGCGCTTCTGTGCTGGGCCCTGCACGGCTTCTGGGGTGAGCAGAGACGCAGGTCTGCAGGGGAGTCGCTGTCGGTGGGGTACACCCCTGCTGGAATTCGGGAAGCCACTCCACGCCAGTGTCTTCCGGCCCCGGGGGGGTGGGGGGTCTACTCTGGGTGTCCTTGGCTTGTGGCCACAGCACACCAGCGTCTCCTACACCCCTCTTCTGGGCGCGTGTGATGGTGCTGCCCCTCCCGCCACCGTCCTCGCATCCTCTCCTTCCTCCCTTCCTCCACGCTCAGCCTTCCTGGAGAGGCCTCGTGGCACGGCTTCCAGAGTGGGGGCCGGGGGTCTTTGGGGCCGCTGTCCTGTCTTCTTGGTGTGCATGCATGCATGGGCAAATGCAGTGGCCCCAAGGCCCTAGATCCTGATAGATAGCACGCACTAGGTTCTCCTCAGAAAATCTCCCTGTTAGCTGGGTGCAGCAATACGCACCTGTAATCCCAGCAACTCAGGCTCTGGCCTGGCCAGCACGAGCCTGGGCCCGAGCCTGGTGGACGTAAGGACATGTCCACATGGTCTGCAGCTTACCCCGGCTGCCCCAGCTCTGAGCTGGCCCCGTGGTGGCAAAAATCCAAACCTACTGTCAGTAAAATAGATAAACAAGCAGGAGACACGGTCCGGCAGCCCCCGCCTGCTCTTGACTGGCATCTCTGGGGCCAGTGAATCTCCTCTACGGATTTTTCCCCCCTATTAACATTTTGAGAATAAGCCCTTGGAGATTTGGTATTTAAGAACTGGTATTTATTCAAGAGAAAGAAATCTCAGCCAGCCGTGACATTCATGGGGCCAAATTGATCTCGTCAGCAGGAGATGGCCGCCCCGAGTCAGGAAGGCCTCTGTCCTGCCCGCTGGGCTGGGCTGGGGCACCGGGAGGGGAGGCCCCGCTGCATGGGCGGCCCCACCGGGCCGTCCATCATCAGGGCTCCTGGACTTGCTGGAGTCACAAGAAAGGGAGCAGAGCGGCCAGGCAGCATGGAAAAGAACATCCGAGGGTTTGCAGACAGTCTCTGCCTTCTCTTGAACAAAGCCCTTGGGGTCTCGGGCAGGCGTCTGTCGGGGGAGAGCTGGTGTTTTTATCTGTGTGTTCTGGCTGCTGGTGCTGGGGCTTGAACTCGGGGCCTCGTGCTTTCACTTGGCTTTTCCACTCAAGGCTGGTGCTCTACCACCTGAGCCACAGCTCCACTTCTGGCCTTTTACTGGTTAATGGATCATGGGAGTCTCCCAGATTTGTTCACCAGTGCTGGTTTGGGCCCGGGTTCTGAGCTCTCAGCTTCCCGAGCCGCGGCGCCTGCTCCGCCTGTGTTTTTATTCAACTGCGGATTGCAGTCGGGTTGGATCCATGAGATACATGCAAAAGAAAAGTTAGCATCGGAGCCGACTTCGCTTCCAGACAGGAGAGAATCAGCTGCAATTTTAGGGAGACATTGGGAGGGTGGCCTGTGTGTGCAGTGGCCCCTCCGGGCTCTGGACAGCTGGGCAAGGCCGTGTCCCCTGCCCAGCTGGGCTCCCGTTCCTGTGCTCGGCTCACAGGGGCAGAGCAGAGGACTAACCACAGACTCCATTTTCCTGTGAAGATACATGCATAACACATACGTGTATCAGACGCACAATGTATGCAAAACAACCATGCACACACGTAGTCACACACATAGCACATCCATGCAGACATGTACACGCATGCCAGCACACCCATGCTCATACAGCCACACATGTGCGTGTGCTCACACACACGTATGGGTGTGTGTATAAGCCTGCATGTCCATGCGTGTGCACACACATGCACACACGTCCTCTGCGTGGTGCCGGCGTGGCCCGTCCTCACTCCCAGAGCTGTGTGTGCTGTGCAGGCTGTGAGCAGCGTGCAGTGAAACCCTGAGTTCCGGTCGTTGGCAGCGGTTCTCCTCTGGCTGTTTATGCCGCAGTGACACACACATCGAGGTGCCTTCCCTTAATTTCAGTGTTGATTTTTAATGATGGCTTTTTAAGTTTTTTAATTTGAGTGTATCATTACATGAAGTGCTTGCTTTATTTTCAAGTTGGAACTATAAAATGAAATCCACCACAGTGCAAGCCAGCGCCTCCTGCTCTCTGCCCTGCGCTCCCGCTCCGTGCACTGGGGACAGGCATGGAAGCCATCCTTCTATCCTGGAGAGAGGGACGCCACTGTAATGGATGAGGAGACAGATGTTAAGTCACGTGGCCAGAGCCACACAGCTGGCACCCGTGAGCCGGGACCGAACCAAGCCGGCCCTGTGCCCTGCATGGGCGTCAGGGGTGGACTCACAGAGTCTGAGCAGGACAGAGGTGTGCAGGGGCCGAGGGAGGGCGGGCGCCAGGTCCCGCGGGGGAGGGGGGAGAGCAGCCA